ACACACACACACACACACACACAGAATATATACACACAAGAGAACTGTCCTAGTTTGGTCTATGTTCTATGATTTAAAAAAGAATAAAACATTCTGATGAAAAACAGGCTGGGGATGGAAGTGTTTCTTTGGCTTACAAGTTTACAGTCTGTCTCGCTGGGAGAACCCAAAACAAAAACAAGAACAGGAGGCAGGAACCAAAGCAGAGACCATGGGACAAATGTTGCTTCCCGCCTTGCTTCCTGCTTCTGCTCAGCTAGCTTCCTTACACAACCCAGTACTACCAGCCAAGGGGTGGCACCGCCCCCATCCATCAATTAGCAATCCAGAGAATGCCCCAGGGGCATTGCCACAGGCCCTATCCTTAACTGAGGTTCTCCCCAAGTGTGTCAAAAGAATCATGCAAGAAAACATTTTTTTTTTCCTTTTTAACATGCTTTAATTTCCTCTGACTATCCCAGTCCTTTAATTTCCAGGGTCGAGACATGTTTAGAAAGTACTTATCCACCATATAACCTGTGAGGCCATGTCTAGACACCTCTGCACAAGTAGCCGAGAGAGCTCAATAACTAACCTATTACAGGAGCAGAAAGGGTGTGCACTGCACAGCTTCAGTTTTGAGGCTGGTTGCCCTCGACTTACAATTTGCATGTTACTGACAGCCAGCCTGTAAGTACCTGTTTAATGAATGAATGAATCAGGGAAGCAGGAAGTGGGCGCACAAAATTTGTGAGGAGAGACAGACTTGATATTGGATACTATGCATTTCCCAATCAACACTTAAATTCCTTGCCTTCTGGGACTGTCCCAAAAGCCCCCTCCCCTTCCCTGCCTCGTCTGGGTGTCTGTCCTAGCCACTGCCATTTGGGCTAACTTAATGACTGTCTCTTCTTGGAGGAACAGAAGGATTTCTCTTTGAAGCATTACGCTGCCTGCTATGTACTCTTGTCTCGATGGGATTATGAATCAAGTCCTACCCTAAACCAGGACAAATGGAGACGCTGCTTGACTTTGAAATGGTGAGCCTTAAGAGTTGAGGAATCTGCTGGTGTTCACCCAGCGACAGTTTACATTCATCTCTGCTTCCAGGATTCCTTGGTGGTCCTGGCTTCTGCCCTTTTCCCTTTGTTCTTAAGCCTCCTCAACAACTCTAGGAACTACCGGGTATCCTAATAAATCTGTTTGTATACGCCCCTTCATGCCTCGTACTTGGAAACACATGAACAAAAATACTAAGTGGTACTTAATATAAGGGCTGCCTTAATATCTGCATAAGAGCATCCTCTGCAGGCCCCAGATTCTTCTGCTCTAGCTCCTGCACTGGAAAAGTGTGTGCAGCCATAGCAGCTCTGAAATCAGTGCGGCAGAAAAGAAGGGAGGGAAGGGGTGGGGGGAGTCAATGTGGAGAGAGGAGTCCTCTTCTTAAAGGATCCAGAAGCTGGCCTTTACAGTCAACTTCATCACCACATGACTCGGAACTATGTGAAGACCTACTCAAGATATTTCTGACCACAAAACAATGATTTCTTTATTGTATATAATCACAACAGGTTATCGAATACAGCATCTATCCTGTGTTCTATAATTTAGTACCATCAAAAGATTAAGGAGTTATCTTCCCTGTGGGGAGTCATTCAAAGCCACAATTACACTATTAGTCTTAAATTACTACTCATGCATTACATTTGGAGAGGTGGGACCTTTGGTTATTCGTTTTAAGTGTGTGCAACATCAAATAAAAATATAGAACGTATTTTTGAGTTGACTGGCTGAAAACTTTGGCCTTTATCCCTCAAACAAGTGCTGGAGAATTGAGACAATAGCGTCAGTGTTTCAGGGAAACAAATCAAAACGTGGTACTCAAGTAGACTAGAAATAATAGAGGTCCGAACAAAATTATGGATCTTGTGCCAGCATTTGTCGGTTGTACACATGCTATTACATCCACAAAGGAGGGCGTTTTCCTCTTCTTAACCCAAAAGGACTCATCCTTCAGGAGTTAACTCAGACATCCTCTAGCTTCCTGGAGATGGATGGGGAGACTAAGTCACCTCTTTGCCTCTGTTCTCGGGCACTTCTTTCAAAATCCTGCACAAGAATCAAAGTCAGAGTTCTAGGAAGTAGACTAGTGGGTGTGACGGCTTACTGTTTACCTGGTAGAGTTTCAGGTTTGCAAGATGGGGAGTGGGTGACAGGCAGCTACAGTACACAGCCCTGGGAAGGACTGAGAGGATTTCCTTGGGCTAATTTGTAGGATGTAAAACAAGGCCAGGAATCTGGCAGGGAGCGGGGAGTTGCCTAAGTCTCAGATGTGTGCCCATCGAGTCTCTGGGTCTCAACCTGCTCTACCTTACCAAACTTCCTGGCATGGTTTTATGTCCTACAAATCCTCCTTTTTCTTTTTATAGGAGAGGCGTCACTGGAGTATCTAGAGTGAAAATTTGGGATGGGATGGAAGTATCAAAACAAAACACAACACAGGCCAGAGGTGTAACGAGGGGTGGGGGCTAGGAAGACAAGGGATTATTGAACCAATTAAATGTCACACCACTTGGGATACACTGCCTTTGCCAGTCCAGAGAGTCTCAGGGACCCTTGCTATGCCATCTCTGATCAGCAGGTTCTTGTCACAACTGTAATCTATAGTTATGTGACGATTCAGTTTTCTATGGCCACCATAACAAAATATTACAGGGGTGGAGGCTGTTGGATGTCACAGTTATGGTCAAGGTAGTAGTAGTTTTGGCTTCTCTAGGGTTTCTTTCCTCAGCGTGTAGACTGTCTTTCTTTTAGCATACACATCTCTGCTTTGCTCAGAAGTTTTCATCTTAAGAAACGAGGTTGAAGATAGAGTTAAAGTGGGAGTGTGCTTGCCTAGTAAGTTGCTGCAGGTTTCATCTACAGCACAGGAGAAGAAAAGATACCAGCTATACTGGATTTGGGTTCGCCCTAAAGCTTGTTTCTTGAAAAGCCCTGTCTCCAAACACAGTCACCTCCTGATATAATGGGGATCAGGACGTCAGTATTTGAATGGAAGGAGGGTAAGTCTGCCACATGTGGGTAGGCCAGGAACAAGAAACCAGGTGGTAAACAAGAACTTGGTTCTTAGGCTGAAGAGTTGGCTCTGTGGTTAAGAGCACTGACTGTTCTTCCAGAGGTCCTCAGTTCAATTCTCAGCAAACACATGGCAGCTCACAGCCATCTCTAATGGAGTCTGATGCCCTCTTCTGGTGTGTCTGAAGAGAGTAATGGTGAATACATAAAATAAATAAATCTTTTTTTAAAAAAGAACTTGCCTGGGGGCAGTGGTGGAGCACGCCTTTAATCCCAGCACTTGAGAGGCAGAGGCAGGTGGATTTCTGAGTTCGAGGCCCCTCTGTTCTTCAGAATGAGTTCCAGGACAGCCAGGGCTAAACAGAGACACCCTGTCTCAAAAAAACAAAATAAAGAAGAAAAAAAAAGAACTTGATTCTTATGTGAGAAACGCTATACGCCTTCTACTTCTTTCTTTTTTCTTTTTTTTTTTTTGATATGTTTCACTTCCAAGGCTTCACACAGTGATATTATTTCTTGACTTTCAATTGTTCACTGTTTGATCTGAAGAGGGCTATCCAGGACTAAATTTAAAGTGACCTTAAAAGTCACCCACTGCAGCCGTTTTCTTCCTTCCATGGTCCTTACTACTTTCTAATGTACAGAATGCCAGCTCCGGGAAAGGGTGGGAATGTGTTTTTAGCCCCTTGGAGTTCACCAAAGTCTCTTTCACAGTTATGGGTAAATGTGTTTCTGTAACCACTTAACACATTATGTCTTTATTTACTCCACTGAGAAAACCTGCAGGGCTTTTAATATCCGGAATGCCTTATGAATCTCAGCTTTACCACTTCTCCAGCAGGTTGCTTAATACAGGACAGTGATGTGTCCCTCAGTGCTCTTACGAGGTACAGCACCCAGTTCAAAAAAAAAAAAATGACAACCTCTGCATACAAATAGTTGAAGAGGTATTAGGTGTGTCTTCTAAAGTGTGGAACCTGAGCATAGCCTGGGGAAACCGACTTTAGAAGGTACAGTGAGCACTAAACAGAAAGTCCCAAAGATACCGTGTTTACAATTATTCAGCTCATTAAAGCAAGATCTCAGGGGTTTTTAAAAATTCTTAATAATTTACTTTTATTTATTGAGAGGTGGGGCATGTGTGGAAGTGTCAGAGAACAACTTGTGGAAGTCCATTCTACCCTTCCATCATGGGGTTCCTGGGGATCAAATTCACATCCTCAGGCTTGTCAGCAAGTGTTCTCACTCACTAAACCATCCCTGGCCCCTTCACAAACTGTCGTCTATCCTTGCATATAGCTCTTGCTACTTCCTGCCATTCTTCCTGTGTAAGAGGGTAGTGTCCTCAAAGATGCACGGCAAACGAACGATGCAAATTTATCAGTCTTCCAGGGGTTTTGTGCAGCCGTGCAGCTATCTCGCAGCCTGGGTTTGTGGCCACCTCCTTCACTCTGTGTCTGAGCTATGACACCAGCGGCTCAAGGGCTACTGAGAGTTCTAGAAAACGAGCTTCCTAGGGAGCTCACCATTCGTGTTTTTAAAACTTTTAAACTCTGGCAGCAACTCAGCTGGAACCCCAGCAAGGAACCTCCAGACCACGTCCCTAGGGAGTCCTCGGGTGTCGTGGAGGCCTCGCCCACAGCTCCAGCAGCCTCCCCTTAATCCGCCTTTCCGGAGGTAAACCCTGGGACACTAGGTCGCAGTCGTCCCGCGGTGGCCGCAGTTCTTACCATAGCTCGTTGGGGAGAGATGCGCTCCCAGAGCGGGTGAAGCCAGAAGCCCAGTGCCCACGTGGGCGGGGCAAGACCCAGGTGCCGGGGCGGGGCAACACGATGAGTGCGCTTAATCGGGGGCGTAGCAAAGGCGGGAGGCGGAGCTGAAGAGCTATGACGACTGGAGGAGACGTGGCGGGGGAGGGGCACGTTCAGTGACCGTGCGCAAGCGCAGTGCAGCGAGAAGCCTCTGAAAAGTGTGTCCAACATGGCGTCGGAGCGCAAGACTAAGTTATCCAAGAACCTGCTGCGCATGAAGGTGCTGGGATCGGGGGGATACTGAGGAGGCGGGCGGGGAGGCTGAGCCCCGAGATGTCCCATGGTAGGACTCGGGCCGAAGCGACGGGCAGACTGGCTCGGGATGGCCGCAGCCAGCGCACCCCATTCATTCGCTCAGCCCGCGGGCCATTGGGCACCAGGGGTGAGATTTTGTTTAGCCTGCTGTGGGGAGGGAGCTTGCACATCGTAATTAAGAACCTGCAGTGTTGAGTGCGGTGGTGGCTGAGGTGTCTGGGCCGCCTGGGAACTTAGACTTCTCGCGAGAAGTGCTCCTTAAGTAGGACCAACATGACGGATGTCAGGTAGTGTCCTAAACTGAGGGAACGTTATGTCCAGAAACCTAAGAAGGAGAAAATCAGGGACACTTCTAGGAACTAAAGGTAGCTCGGACGTCTGAAAGACAAGGAGCATAAAATGAAGTCTGGAAATCTTAGTGGTCACAACATCCAAGCAATTGTAAGCCAGACTGAAGTTTTGTTTCTGTTGTCCCGTGAGCAGGAGGAAACTGTCTTCTGAGTTATTGCTTTTTTTTTTTTTAAGAAGATTTATTTTATGTATGTGAGTACACTGTCACTGTCTTATGAAACACCAGAAGAGGGCATCGGATCCCATTACAGATGGTTGTGAGTCTTCATGTGGTTGCTGGGAATTGAACTCAGGACCTCTGGAAGAGTAGTCAGTGTGCTCTTAAGGGGGCTGAGCCATCTCTCCAGCCCCCGGGTTTTTTAAGGCCACTTTAACTGTACTGTGGATGATAGTTAATCAGAAAAAGGCCCAGCCCTACAACATATAAGCTTAAGTCAAAAAGACCAGCTGAAAGTTACTGTGTTCTGGGTGAAGGTTGTCTTCGTGGTGGGAATAGAGAAAATTTTAGCAGTGGGATGAAATGAGTTCTCCACGCACTTTTAAACAAAATGAGCTTTTAGAAGGATTTATGCTATTTTTTTTCTTTGTGTGCGCATGCATGCATGTCTGTGTGTACACCGTGTGTGTTCAGGTGCCTGCGAAGGCCAGAAGAGTGTGTTAAAGCCCCTGAAACTAGAGTTTTAAGCCAGCAAGCAGGTGTGAGTACTGAGATTTACACAAGAGCCAAGGGTGCTCTTGGCCACTGAGCCAACATTCCTGGCCCATGATCTTTTTAAATTTGAAACTGAACCAGTTTGAACCAGCCGAAGTGGCTTTGATGGCACACATTTGTAATCCCAGCACTTGGGAGGTGGAGGCAGGAGCTTAGCAAGTTTGTGGCCGGCCTGGACTAGCTGTGAGACCGTGTCTCAGATGTCAAAAGACAACAATAAAAATGGAACCAGCTTAACTGCCTTTTAAAAGGGGAATGGGGTTAAAGGCAGATGAACACAGGAGTTAAGACAGGGAAAAGCTAGCTCTTGAAGACGAATAGAACATATTGACAGACCTTCCTATATTCAGACATTGTTCTCAGTGTCTTGTATATAATGAACCACTTAATTCACATAATAACATTTGAAGGAGTCACAGTCATCGGCTCTGATGACACGTGAGGTGTCTGAAACAGAAGTATCAGCTGAAAAGACTGGTCATCTGGCCCCAGAGCCTTCACTTGTAGCTGTTAGTCTTTAGCACCTGTCCCCAAACACACAAGTGGAGCTTGATTCACTGCCTAACTCAACCGTATAATAAAACTGTTTAACACAGCTGTCCTACCTATGGAACGGTAGGGTTTCAGGAGTTGACCCCTAGGCTGATGTAGCTGTCTGGGAGCTATGACCCACTGCTCCCCAGTACCCCCATTAGAGACTCCTCTTACATATGGCTAGCCCAGGAAACGATCAGAATTTTTGTTTTGTTTGTTTAAGTTAAAAAGTTTTTTTTCCCCTGCGTGTGTGTCTGCACCATGTGAGTGCCTGGCGCCCAAGGAGGCCAGAATAGAATGTCAAGTTCCCTTGAACTAGAGTTACAGGGGTTCGTGAGCCCCAGCGTGGATGCTAGGAGTCAAACGTAGGTCCCCTGGAAAAGCAGCCAGTACTCTTAGCCACTGAACCATCTCTCCAGACTCCTCTTCTTCTTCCTCTTTCTCCTCCTCCTTTTTAATGCACTTATTTCGTGTGTGTGTGTGTGTGTGTGTGTGTGTGTGTGTTGACACACACACACAGGTCAAGAGGACAACCAACTGGAATTGTCTCTACTACCAAGCGGATCCTGAGGATCAAACTCAGGTTGTCAGCCTCTAACCACTGAGCCACCTTGCCAGGCCTGTCAGCATCTTTGAATTCCTCTGGCCGGAGCAGATATCTAGGATGGGGTTACTTCTGGTGGGAGAGAAGGATGTGGGCAGAAGGCTTAGCAGTCGGATGGTTTGGTTAGAGACTGTATTGGTTTGTGGTCTTGGCTCTTTCTGGACCTTATAGGGAGGGCTTGGTGCACTTTGTAATGGGCAAGACAGTAAATGTTGTCAACCAGTGGGGACCCACTGCCCTCTTCAGCCCACTGTAACTAGCTCAGAACTGAGTCACCATGACTGTGCTCTGAAAAGATAATCTCCTTGTGCACTATGTAAAAGTATTCACCTGTCAATAAAAATGCTGCTGGCCTATTAGCTTAGGCAGGAAATAGGAGGTGGGAGATCCGATAGGAAGAAAGAATTCTGGGATAGAGAGAAGCACAGGAGATTTGGCCCCAGACGCACAGGAAGATGGTTGCGTGTAACTGGGGTTCTAGTAACCAGCCAAGTGGCAGAACTTAGAATAGAATAATGAGATTATTAAATTATGAGATAGTCAGGGAACATAACTAGCTATCTGGCCCAGGTATTTGTAAATATGTTTGAGTCTCAGAGTCATTATTTATGAGAACTTGGGGCCCAGAGGAAGAACATAAGTTTATAGAAAACATTATACAACAATGCTTTATTAATCCCAGCACTGAGAAGGCCTCTGAGGCACGTGGATTACTTGAGTTCAAGGCCAGCCTAGTCTACATCGTGAGTTCCAGTACAGCCAGGGCTACACAGAGAAACCCTGTCTGAAAAACCTTCCAAAACAAAACAAAAACTAGACAGTTATTGATCCAGCTTGAGAGCTATAGTTTCCCAGAGTCTGCTCTGGGCCCTCAGTTTTGAGGGAGGTGCAATTGCTAGTTTTAGAGTATGTCCTGAGGTCTTCCTAACCCTAGACATGCTTGGTTCACAGCCCTGTTCTATCCTCTCTGTCCAGTGTAGATATGTGTGACTGTCTGTGTGCCTTAATGCATCTGCTGAGGTGAAATTGAAGATGGAGAAGTTAGCCAGGTTGGCAAGTTTTGCCACCAAGAGTATAAGGGGCATCGTGAGGCATCTGTACTTTGAACCACAGGTCTGGTAAGCTAAAACAGATCCAAGGTCATTGATGTCCAGGCACTCGTTTGTCTGCTTGGTGGCCTTGTACCTATGGTCTGAGGTGAGCCAGGGCACTGACAGTGGCTTGCTCCTGTTTTAACAGTTCATGCAAAGGGGCCTGGACTCAGAAACCAAGAAACAGCTGGAAGAGGAGGAACGGAAGATGATCAGCGACGAGCACTGGTACCTGGATTTACCAGAGCTGAAGGAGAAAGAGTAGGTTACTGGGGTTTACAACCACAGGTCGGGAAGCCTTGGGGTGCCCACAGAGTCGCCGTCCTTCAGTGCCATGCTCTCTGTTCTAAAAACTGCCAACCTCAGTGCGTCCCACAGGGACACAAAGTCCCAAGGGTGGGTTAATGCTTAGGCCGGACCAGCTCTGTTTCTGTAACAGTCCTTTGGTGGCTCAGGAGATGTCTGTCTGTCTGTTTTAATCAGTACTGTATCTAGTTCCATTCACATAACACACATTGCTGCATTGGTAGTCTATCCTAGGCTAAGCATTTCCTGTCCCTCAGTTCATACAGAAACCCAGGAGTACCCAGCACCACAGTGCCCGTTTTGCTGTTGAGGAACTGGAGCTGGAGGAGGGGGGATTGTTTGCTCTGAGCCACCTGCCCAGAGGACTGAGGCTGAGTCACACCAGAGATGAGTTTTCTTGCGCTTCCAAGCCTAGGGACGGTGTGAACAGGAGAAGGGTAGGGGAGACTAGCACAGATGAGGAGGCTCGGGATGCTGTGAACAGGAGTGGTTAGCACAGACGAGGAGGCTCGGGATGCTGTGAACAGGAGTGGTTAGTACAGACGAGGAAGACTAGGGACGGTGTGAACAGGAGTGGTTAGCACAGATGAGGAGGCTCGGGATGGTGTGAAAAGGAGTGGTTAGCACAGACGAGGAGGCTCAGGATGGTGTGAACAGGAGTGGTTAGCACAGACGAGGAAGACTAGGGACGGTGTGAACAGAAGTGGTTAGCACAGACGAGGAAGACTAGGGACAGTGTGAACAGGAGTGGTTAGCACAGATGAGGAGGCTCGGGATGGTGTGAACAGCAGTGGTTAGCACAGACGAGGAAGACTAGGGACGGT